CCCCAAAACCCCAAAACCCCAAAACCCCATTTTCTGCAACATTAGTAGAAAATATTAATTAAAAACATGTCAAAAACAATCAAAATCGACAAAGCATTTAAGACAAAGGAGTTTAAAATCCAACCTCAGTTCAAGAAGAGAGAAAAGAAGGCTATTAGGAAAGCCAATGAGAAGGATGACTCTGGAAGCGAGAAAGAGATAGATGAGCTACAGGATCTCCAGAACAAGATCAAGAGACAGCCTTCTTTGTGGAGAAATGAGTTCAGAAAACACCTTGAAACTTTCAAAAAGCTCTTTCTTAAGTTCAGAGAGGATCCTAGTAGGGAGGATGAGGAGACAGTGAAATACATCAAATTCATGACACATATCTGTGATGTGTATAGGAAGGATCTCTCCTTTGTGCCTACAGAATTTGTGAGTATGCTTGAACAAAATTACTCGACTATTCATCCTAATGTAAGGTTCGAGCTAGTCCAGAGTTTGAGAATGATCAGAACTAAAAAGTTAGCAACTGCAGTTGATATTATCCCACTCTTCTTCAAGTTATTCAGGGCTGAAGATAAAGCACTGAGAAGGTACCTCTTTACTTGCATTGTTGGAGATTTAAAACTTTTGAACAAAAAATCGAAGGCTTCAAATGTAAATAAAACACTCCAAAATTTTGTCTACAATATGATAAAAGATCCCCAAGAAATCGCAGCTAAGCAAAGCCTTCAAGTAATGATCGAGTTGTATAAGAGGAAGATTTGGAATGACGATAACACTGTCAATGTTATAGCTGAAGCAGGGCTTCAGAAGAGCCCCAAGCTCTGCTTGCTAGCTTGCAAATTTTTCCTCCTTCTCAATTATGAAAATGAAGTCTCTGGAAGTGATCATGAGGACAGCGATATTGATGATGTCAAGAAACAGATTCTGAACACAAAGGTAGGAGCCAAGATGAGTAGGAAGAAAAAGCACGGGCTTGAAAAAACACTCAAAAATATGAGAAGAAGGAAAGGAAGGAAAGACAAAGTCTACTTTACTCCAGACTTTCTCCCAATTGATCTCTTGAGATGTCCTCAAGAATATGCTGAAAGATTGTTCTACAGGCTTAGGAAGAGTAACGAGAAGCTTGAGATCAAGCTATTCATGATGAAGTTTATTGGAAGGCTGATTGGAAGACATAAGTTAATTATGTTCAACTTTTATCCATTTATCTCTAAGTATATAAACCCTCATCAGAAAGAATTGGCAGAGTTCCTTGCAATGGTTGCTGAGTCAACCCATATTAACGTTCCTCATGAAGAAGTATCTCCCCTTATTGAGAAGATCTGTGAGAACTTTGTTAATGAGAGAGCCTCTCCTGTGAGCATGACCATTGCAATGAACTCTATAAGAGAGATTGCTGCCAGAAACCCAAATGCTATGAACAAAGAGCAACTTCAGTACTGCATTGCTTACTCAAAGATCAAGAACAAATCAGTCTCAATGGCCATCAAGGGATTGATCAACTTGTTCAGAGATCTTAGACCAGAGCTCCTTGAAAAGAAACAGCTCGGTAAAGAGGATTACATCAAGCTCAGAAAAGATGGGCCTGAAACTATGGTTGAGAATACTAAGCTCAGGACAATTGAAGGACTCGATCTCCTCAGAGAGCATGAGGGTCTTGGAGAAAATGTTAACATGATTGGGCATAGACTCCTTACCGATGAAGATTTTAAACTGATCAAGAAGCTTCAAATACAAAAGAAGACTGAAGAAGCTAAAGAGCAGCTCAAACTTGACCTTAGCGAGTATGATATCGTAGATCATAGGTTTGCAATCCATGACCAAGCCCAACTTCAAGCCGCTCAAGAGGCTGAGGAAGCTGAGGGAGAATTTGATGCTGATGATGAGAGTGGAGAAGATGGATCTGATGCTGATGACGGAGAAAAACCATCTAAAAAGGTAAAGATAAGCTCTAAAACTCAAGTACATGAAATCAAAGATGGTGACTCAGAGGAAGAGAAAACTGATGTTAAGAAGGTTGCTACTCCAATTCAAATAGTAGGGGCACCTCCTGTTATCAGATCTGATGGTATTAGATATGTCCCTGCAGTTACAGAAGATGAAGTGGATTTCGATATATCAGTATCTTCTATCTCAGACAGTGATAGTGATGAGTATGTATCTCACAATCCACATAACTTCATTGATGGAGTCCATTTGAATACATATAAAAAGAGCAAGTATCAAAAGCTGGCAGAAACTTATGTATCTCGTGAGGAGAAGCAAAGGCTCAAAAAGGAGAGGGCGAGAGCTCATCATGACAAGAAAGGAAAGAGTAAGACTAACAAGGAAAAGCAGAAGAACAAGCCAATATCAATGATGATGCCCAAGAAGTTGAGGTCTATTCACCAAAACTACAGATCTACCTCTGAACGTCTCAAAGACCTGAAATACAAGCTTGGTAAAGTGAAAGATGGCAAGCTCAAAGTGCATCGTAAAGGACTTAAGAATGTACGCTAAATTTCTGAAAATTATCTCTCAATGGCTAATACTTCAAGAGGGGTTTTGGGGTTTTGGGGTTTTGGGGTTTTGGGGTTTTGGGG